GAAGAGTAGGCAAGCTTTGGGACATACAGTACTCTATCACATCATACAATTGTGTCTTTACCGGACCACTCTGTCACATAGTTACACACACCCTGTCACTGTAAACTGGCCTGTCAATCATCTTGTCACATTTCATTTAACTTCCTACTGTATTGGAGAGAAAAGAAGTAGCTCACTGATCTGCCAGCCGTGGGTCTTTATGTGGAGAACTCTGCTCATGTGTTTGTATAATGATGCATTTAAAAGTTAACAGCCAAACGGATGTCAATAAAAGTTCACATTGTTGTTGCAGATGAAATATAACACAGATAACATTAAATAAATATTTTTTTACCAGGTTAACTGTTGATTATTAGTAACTCAATCCCTTTTATCTAAACCTCTCTTATAACCGTCGGTCGCACACATCCATCATGTTTGTAGTTTTTTAACACTTTTTATTCGTGTTTGTAATTCTGAACTGAATCCTTCGCCAAAGCACAATGGATTGTGGGCAATATTAGCCATTCGAGTGTGCACAGATCCACGTACACTTCAAAAATCTGCCTGAAATAGTTGACCATCTGGGGACTTTTGGCATACTCTGTTCAACATACTATGATTTGGGACACACTTATTCTAATCTCACATACATAGGATGGATAATATGAGCATTTGGACACAGGGAAGGTCTTTAGTGCTAGAAACTTTCAGGCAGGTGTGTTGGAACTGGCAGGATCTAAACTCTGCGGGACAGTGGACCTCCAGCAGCGAGTTTGAGACCCCTTCAAAGAAGACTGCACTTCAGCACACTTCACAGACACTGCCTGCATCATCTGGGCCACAGAGAAAACAATGATACTGACTGCACTTACAATTTCTTGTAAACAAACAGTATCATACTGTGTTTCTACAGTGCATATGTACTATGAAGGTTCCCAGCATGCAATGCAGCATGAATAGATCGTGCTGTAGAGTTTTTTTTTATTCTTGTTGGTTTTATTTGTGCTGTTGAACTTGTTTTTGGTTCACTGTAATTATAAGGTGCTGCATTGAGAGACTGTATTAAAAATTGTACTGTATTAAAATAAACTTGTTTCTGCTCATTAAATTGGATTTTGTTGTAGTTCACTGTAAAGTCTGTGTTATATTGTCAATAGTGATAGTAGCAGTCTAGCAGATGGGAATCTGTAAAGAGTAACCAGCAGCCTTTTTATTACACTTATATCCTCGTTTTTGATAGGTTTTATTTATACACATTTTTGAAATAGTTAAGTTTTTAACTTATAGCCAGATGATTATTGCTTTCTTTGCTTCTCACATTACTAAAGAAAATAATTACATTCTTGACACTGTTAAAATATTCCTCTCGTGTCCTGTAGGGGAGCAAGTGATGAGGAAGTTGACAGAGAGCCATAAGTTTGATATTTTACAGAGAGCTGCCTTTATATATTCAGTTAAACAACACTCAGAGTACACCTGCGAGGAAAATACATTCAAGGGTTATAACTTTAAATAATAAAGAATGAAATTTAATATTAAGAGACTCAAACTCCTCCTTGTCAGGTGACACATGAAAGTGAAACTATTGCAGCAGGATCTGTTTTGTCAAATGAGGAAGTAAACTATATTAAGTGAAAAACACAGTGAGTATCACGATATTAAAATCATATTTGATAGCCAAAATCAATCCTGACTTGTTTAAAGGGAAGTACAACAATACGCAACATCAGATATTTTGAAAGTAGTTAAAATGACAATAGGAGAGAAAACACAGAGTCTGTAAATCATCAGATTCCACTTTTACTTTAATTTTAACACAGTGCTTGTCTGAATTTGTCACGCAGTTTGTGAATAATTTGATTCTGTGTAAATAATGTCAGAATTAAACTTTTCATGTGTGCAGGTCATTACTTTGGACCGTTTATGTTACCCAACTTGCGTTTGTCAAATGAACATGATTTTTTTATGTTGTTTTTTGCTTTTTATTAGGGATGCACCGATACCGGTATCGGGCCCGATACTGGTCTCCTGTACTCGTACTGAATACTTTAATCTTTTAACTCTCAACTCACAACAGACTCCTCACTGGAAAAAAAATCTGTTGGATTAAAATAAAAAATATGTACATCGGTTGCACATATTTATGTTCTCTCAACATAATTTATCTCCGTTTATGTTACCCAACTTGCGTTTGTCAAATGAACATGATTTTTTTATGTTGTTTTTTGCTTTTTATTAGCGATGCACCGATACCGGTATCGGGCCAAAGAAGACATTAAATCTCTCAAGATCTCTGCAGAGGATGATTAAACAACTCCACAAACAGCATCACCAACTTCACACATTACTAACCAGACTGACTTTAGATGTTGATGTTTTAGTTTTGTTTGAATTACCATTACTGAGCTCAGTGTTTCCTTTAGTTGGACTCTTGACCCTTTGGACTTAAAACAATACAATTACTTTGGTTGCTATATCAGTGTGTTTGTTTAGACATGTTTGTTACAGCAATAGGGTGCCAATGGTTATTTTTCAATAAAGAAACTGTTAGCATTTGACCATTTACATAACTGATATTTCTCAGAGTATTGCCAATGATTAGATAAATATTTATTTTTGTTCACATGAAATAAAAATCTTGACCCAGCAGATTTAAAATTAGTCTGAACAACTTTTAAAAGTAAACCTGCTTTAGAAGCTTGAAGCTGCACTATCATACAGACATCAAGAATCAGCGTATGAATCTCACCAATGGTGACAATCAACATATTCATATATTCGGAGCATCTGTGAACATCACAAAACAGGCTAATAAAGTCAACAAAAAGAGCAAAACAAAAGGAAATAGTAAGAATAAAAGAAAATACGAAGACAGCTGCATAATTTATTCATGTCGCATTGCATGCTGGGAGCCATGGATGAGTTTTGATTGGTGCACCCAGAATGCACTGCAGCATGGAGCTTTATGTTGACTGTCACCATTGTTGAGATTCATATGCTGATTCTTGAAGTCTGTTTGATACAAAAAAGTAAAAATATAAGTGCAGAATAAGCTTTAAAAGTCCATCAGGTTAATCTTAAAACTATCAGATCTTAAGCTATGTGCATCATAAAATCAATTCCAAAATAGATATATATCTGCCAGAGTTTCTGCTACAATTTTAATTAGTTAATTAAGTCACTGTATGCTGGATAAGTCTTTGTTGAAAAATAACCATCACTTTACAACACCTTCTCTTGGCTTTTTTTTCCTCACCATAACTAACATGTCTAAACAACACGGTACCTCATGTTGATTTAACATGATTTTAAATGAAAATATGATTTTCATGTTTAAATGAAAGCTTTATCCACTATATGCAGTGGTGATTCAATAAATTAAACAAAACAAGACAGAACTGCTTGTGGTTTCAACAAACCCATCACTTTGCCTTGATTTTCTAACATTATTTTTATTTGACTGCTTGTGTTTTTCAGCACATTTGTTGTGGTAAAAAAGGGCCAAGCACTATAAGTAACGCTGTTGGTTATGATTCGCAAATGACATTGCCATCTTTAAAAAGCAGGTTCACTGATTTTGTTCAGAGTCTCTTTTTGTACCAAAGCGATGTTATGGTAACATATTAGAGCAAAAGAACAAGCGGGCTATTATGAACGATCTCACACATCACTCAAAAAAAAAAAAAAAAAAAAAAAAAACAACCTAAAGATACACAAACACACACACCAAGAATCAGGGTATGAATCTCAACAACGGTCACAATCAACAAAATAAACAGATCAACTCTGAACATCACAAAAACTCACATTACTAAAACTCAACACAAAAACAAAAGCAAAAATAAAAGCACATAGTAATAATTAAAGAAATTAACAGGATAAGCATGAAGCTTTTGATTGTCACCATTGTTGAGATTCATGTGCCGATTCTTGATGTCTCTGTGTGTCTAAACAATGCTGTAGTTTCGAAGCCTTTGAACATAAGAAGTTTTCAAAATCCATCATAATTGTCCGTCGTCTCATCTTGCAGTGTCATATAGTTATCTTAAACAACATGAAACAAGTGAAAACCCACACTATAGTTTCAAAGATCAGCCACTTAAACATCAGTGAGTCACGCCACAAAATTATCATTACACCATCATCAATAATTAACCAGAACCATTTAAGCATAATGTTTCTATGCTTTTATTACTATAACAAATGCGCTTTAGAAACACAGTTACAACAACCAGACAAGCTAGCATTAAAACGTGAAGGGTCAAGAGCCCAACTAAAGCAAACACTGATCGCCACGATGGTGAGGTCAAACAAAACGTTTTCAATAAAACATCTAAACCTCTGTTAATTCTCAAAGAATTTTTGTAGATATATGACAGAAATAAAGTCAAACTGTAATGCTGTTTGTGGAGTTGTTTGATCATGTTCTGCTGTCTTATTTCAGTTGATTTCATCTAAGGCTGTGGCTGAAGTCAGTTGTAGTTTTGTTTCTTGCTCTTTTCTTCAGTGATTCTGCTTGTTAACAGCAGCTGTTCATCAGTTTTAAAGCCACTGAATGAGATCAGTGAATCAGGCCACAAAATGATGATCACACCATCATTAATAATTAACCAGAACCTTTTAATCATAATTTATCTATGCATTTATTGCTATAACAAATGTGCTTTACAAACACAATTTCAACAACCAGACAAACTAACATTAAAAAGTGAAGGGTCAAGAGCCCAACTAAAGCAAACACTGATCGCCACGATGGTGAGGTCAAACAAAAAGTTTTCAATAAAACATCTAAACCTCTGCTTATTCTCAAATAATTTGTGTAGATATATGACAGAAATAAAGTCAAACTGTAATGCTGTTTGTGGAGTTGTTTGATCATGTTCTGCTGTTATATGTCATAGTTATACTATAATGTTACTCTTATTAAGTTAAAATCTCTAGAGCGCCGATCCTGGTGAATAGAAAAAGTAGTGCTCATACAAACACATACAAACACACTCTCACCCTCAAGCTTAAACACAATCTCAGAGATCATTCATGTTCTTCACTCTCTACAGGCTGAGTTGCTGCAGTATTGGAGAGGAAGGCTGTGCTGCTCTGATTTCAGCTCTGAGATCAAACCCCTCACACCTGACAGAACTGGATCTGAGTGATAATAATCCAGGAGATTCAGGAGTGAAGCTGCTCTCTGCTCTACTGGAGCATCCACACTGTAAACTGCAGAAACTACTGTGAGTCTCTTCACATCTCAGTAACTATAAGGTTTCGAGTAAAAAGTAAAATTACACAAATGTGTTTTCCGTTAGCAGTGGTTTTGTTTGTTGCCCTCAGTTCAAACCCCTTAAATAAATAAATAAATAAAATAATGTACTTTTGTTTACTGAGTACATTGCAGAATGTGTTTAAAAATACAGAAATTTTTATTTTACAGTATGGTTTTACAGTAGTCTCAATAAATATAATATTTTATTATATCTTGTGAGTTATATATTTTTAAATACCAAGTATCCTTAAAAATGTGGTGATTATCTATAAGGTGGACAATAATGAACTTAAACGCTATTGACTGCTTGAATCTAACCATGTCATGTCAACAAATAGAAAGTCAGACAGCTATTTATCACATTAGCTAACAGTAAAGGGATGCTTTTCCCCCAGAATACCATACTTATATTCTTCTGTTATTTAAAATGAGTTGATGTAATTACCTTGAACAAAACTGAAAACATTAACAAGACCTTTGTCTCAAAGCATATTCTGTAATTTGTTGATGCTCATTTGCTACATCTCTACTAATCATCCATCCCTCTGTTACTGAGCAGATAGATTCCTCTTTATTAATCACTTCTCAAGTCTAGAGAACTAAATCATAAGAAAAACTAGTGTTAGCATAAATCTGCTGCATTTTCCTCTTGTAACGGTTTGCAGTAGGAGTTGTAGGAATGTGTTGTGAATCTAAAGGAACAAAAATAACATGTTATATAAAACACAGGCTATCATTAAGACATGAATCCACAACTGAATGAAAGAAATAAATGTCAGGATGAATACAATGTCATTGAGATTTGAGTGAGTATGCATTAGAGATGCACGTCTGAAGGGCTTTCCCAGAAACTACGTCATCCAGACGCCCGACCAGCAACCAATCAAAAGCCGGGATTCCCTCAAGCAGCCAACCAGGAAGCTTGTAACGCAAGTACCAGGCAAAATCTTTTCATCTCTTGCTGAACTGGCGCTGATAATTGAGTTTTAGCAGTAAACGTAAAATAAATCTCTGCTTTGTGATTCTCTCAGGTTGAGAACTCGTGGAAAACAAGTTAGAACTTTGGGAACTTCATACAAACTCCGTGACTTTCATTCTTCAGAACTGTATGTGTGTGTTTTAGCTTAGTTTAATGTAATCTAGAATAGCCAATAAATTCTTGTTTCATTTATAAAGAAGTATTGTCTGGTGTCGTGAAATTTCGTAAAGTTAAAACTCTGCCAAGATCACGTTACCTAGCTCCTAGCTTATAACTTATCAAAGTATGTATTAACCCGTGGCCAGGGAAAATACAAATATTCAAATTGTTAATATACACGGACGTTAACATCTCGCTGGACGAGTCGTTGA